GGAGGCTGAGGCAGGAGGATCACAAGTTCAAAGCCAGCCCCAGCAATTTAGCATAATCCTGTGCCTAAAAAATAAAAAGGGGGGTAGGGGAGACTGGGGATGTGGTTCAGTGGTTCAGTGCCCCTGGGTTCAATCCCTGGTACCAAAATGAATAAATAAATCCCCACAGAGAACATCATGCTCAGTGGTGAAGGGCTGGGCCACAGCCCAGGAGCAGAGCCTCGCCTGGCTTGCACAAGATCCTGAGTTCCATYCCAGCCCTGCAGTCATAGTAATGAACTTCAGTGGTTCTGAGGTCCTAGGAGGAAAACTCCTATTTTCTATCACCCGAATCCCTGATAAGGTAGAATTGATCTGAAGATGCTAGTGCCACTCACAGGTTTTCAGAAGCACAAGGAGGTCTCTGTGAAGGAAGATGAAATCATACAGAGTTCCAAATCACCTCTAGAAGTTTTATCATATAGTGCCCAGAACTCAATTAAAAAAAAAAAATTAGCTCTACGTGTGGAGACATCAGAGCATGTGCAAACCTCAACAGAACAACAAGGAGGCAGACCCACAGGACCCGGGGATAAGACTGAGATAGCAGCCAAACTCGGGGATGCAGGCCTGTAATCGGAGCGGCTCTGGAGGCTGAGGCAAGAGGATCACAAGTTCAAAGCCAGCCTCAGCAATGGAGAGGTGCTAAGCAACTCAAAAAGACCCTCTCTCTAAATAAAATACAAAATAGGGCTGAGGAGGTGGCTCAGTGGCCAAGGGCCCCTGAGCTCAATCCCTGGTACCTCCACGACCCCTCTCCCCAAAAGACTGAGATTTCAGCAGAGATCTCAGAAGAGTTTTAGAAGACTCAAAAGGAAATTCTAAAAGAGAAAGCTACAGTAACTGGGCTGGGGAGATAGCTCAGTTAGTAGAGTGTTTGCCTGGCACGCACAAGGCCCTGGGTTCAATCTCCAGCAATCAAAAAAAAAAAAAAAGAAAAGAAAAAAGAAAGAAAGCTACAAGAACGAACATTATTAGCTAAATGATTGGATTTAAGAGATGAAGGAAAAATTAGTACAGTGGAAAAAATCCAATCTGAAATAGGAATGAAAAATACAAAACACAACAAAAGAGTCACCTGGGAGAGAGAGAGAGAAGTCTAGCAGAGGTTTGTTAGTTTCCTGAGATKGTTACAACAAATGACCCCAAACCGAGAGGCTTCCAACAACAGAGATTCGTCCCCTCACTGTTCTCGGGGCTGGGAGTCCATCGTGAATCCCACGGTGCTGAAGTTAAGGTGTCAACAGGGCCACACTCCCACCTGTCGCCTCTCCAGCTTCMGGTGGCTGCAACACGCCAGTCTCCACCCCTTCACGTCCCAGTTCCTCCAAGCACAATCTCCTGCGGCTCTCTCGGGACACTTGTAATTGGACTCAGGAGCCACTTGGATAATCCAGAAACGCTTCCCACCTGGAGATTTGCGACACATTCACGTAGGCAGAGGCCCCTTTTCCTCAGGAGACAGCAGGCGTGACGTCATGCGTCATTGGTGGCCGTGACTCAGCCAGTTACCATGTGTACGACTACCCTTCCTGAAGATGGAGGGAAGGGTCAAAAGCAGTATTTGGAAAGATGACAGCTGAGAAAGTTCCAAAACGGTTTTTTTGATCCATGATTTCAAGAGTCTCCAAGAACCCCAAGCAGGATAAATTGAACGAAAACCCCAATCATGGTAAAACTGCTGAAACCAAACCAGTCTTAAAAGCATCTAAAGAAAAATTATAAAAACCCTTTAAAAAAGGATGCTAATTCACAAAAAGGCGGGGGCACTAGAGAAGAATAGCATTACCTTTGATTAGGCAGAAGGAAGGGAAGGGA